TTTATAACCTTTTTGAAGTAATGTATTGAATGAAGGTGCTCTTTTTTCATGGCTCAAGATAAAGAGAAGAGAGAGATAACTTCACACTCCTTTTTTTTTCCTTTGTCTGCTCTCCTGACCATCCTTTTTTTTTTTTTAATTAGAAGCAATCCTATTTTACATATCAATCCCAGTTCCCTCTCCCTCCCATCCTCCCCTGGCCCCCATCGGCCCATCCCCTCCCCCTATCCCATCCCCCTTCTGCTCCCCAGGGAGGGTGAGACCTTCCATGGGGGAATCATCAAAGTCTGTCACATCATTTGGAGCCTAGGCCCTCCCCGTGTGTCTAAGCTGAGAGGGTATCCCTCTGTGGGTAATGTGCTTCCCAAGTCCATTCGTACCTATGCTAGGGATAAATACTGATCCATTACCAGAGGCCCCATAGACTGTCCAGGCCTCCTAACTGACACCCATGTTCAGGGGGCCTAGTGTGGTCCTATGCTGGTTTCCCAGCTGTCAGTCTGAGCTCCATGAGCTCCCCTTGTTCAGGTCAGCTGTTTCTGTGAGTTTCCCCAGCCTGGTATCGACCCCTTTGCTCATCACTCCTCCCTTTCTACAACTGAATTCCTCCAGAGAAGCTAGGAAACAAGAAGGATCCTAAGAGAGACACACAGGGTCCCCCAGAGAAGAGGAAAGGGACAAGATCTGAGCAAATTGGGAGCATGGAGAGGGGGGCAGAGGGAGTTAGGAGAAAGAGAAGAGGACAAGAGGAGGGGGGGAGGAGGACATGAGGGATCAGGAAGATTGAATAAGGGGAAGAATGTAGGAGAGCAAGAAAAGAGATACTACAATAGAGGGAGCCATTATAGGTTTAAAGAGAAATCTGGCACTAGGGAAATGTCCAGAAATCTACAAGGATGACCCCCAACTAAGAATCTAAGCAATAGTGGAGAGGGTACCTAAAATGCCCTTCCCCTATAATTCGATTGATGACTACCTGAAATACCATCCTAGAGCCTTCATCCAGTAGCTGATGGAAGCAGAAGCAGAGATTCACACTCATTTTGAGAGACAGGGACATCGTTTGAGGGAAGAAATTCCCACAGAAAGCGAACATAGGAAGACTTCACCAAAACACAGTGATGTTTTTACCCTACACCCACAACTTAAGCAATACGAAAATAGTAACCATGCTGCAAAGCAGGGCAGTACCTTTTGAGAGTGGGAAATAACCTGCAACTGAGCTATCAGATTTCGGTCTGTTGATACTGGGTGACCTTTCAATCCATCTGGTACTGGGCATGTCTTTGGTTGGGAACTTTTCTTGTTTCCAAAAGTACCCCAGAATAAATTTTTTTGTGCAAAACTTTTTTATTTCCAGAATTCTGTCCATAGAATGATGGAGCTGGAAGGGGATTTCAAGATCTCTATATCAACCCTCTTTTGCAGAGAGAAATTTGCTGGAAGCTGTGACTTCCTAGGTCTTCTCTTTGGTTCCCCTGTGACCTGCCTTCATGGTGTCCATTACTACCACAGGAGTGATTTCCACAAGAAATTACACAGAAGTATCTAGAATTCTCAAAGTTTTTGAGTGTGTGAGTGTGTGTGTGTGTGTGTGTGTGTCTGTCTGTCTGTCTGTCTGTCTGTCTCCAGGGCTGGGGAGATGGCTTAGTTTGTAAAGTGATTGCTTCATGAGTATGGCGACCTCAGTTCTGATCCCTAGTGCCCATATCAAAGCTGAGCATGGGAGCTGGAAAGATGACTCAGCAATTAAAAGTACTTGTTGATCTTGCAGAGGACCCAGGTTCGCTTCCCAAAACCACCTGGGAACTTATAACTGTCTGTATTTCCAGTCCCAGAGGATCCAATGCTCTCTTCTGACCTCTGAGGGTACTGGGTAGTCATGTAGTACACATATAAACATGCAGACAAAACACTCATAACCTAAAATAAAATACTACAAAAATTAAAAAGAAGAAAAGTGGGATGGGATAGTCATACCTTTAATGCCAGCTCTTGGAAAGCAGAAATGGGCAGGTTCCTGAGCTCTCTGCCAAGCCAGCCTAGCCTAACAATGTAGCTCCTAGCCAACAAGAAACCTCATTTCCAAACAACAATTAAACTTCCAAATGGCACCTGAGGATTAAAACCCAGTTGACTTTTGGCCTACACACACACACACACACACACACACACGCACGCACGCACGCACGCACGCACGCACGCGCACACACACGCGCACGCTTATGTGGGAGCGTGTTCATATGCACACCTATCCAGATGAACACGCACATCTATGCATGAACACAAAAGAGATCCCATGAATTCTTGTCTTGAGAGAAACAGAGTGGTGGAGCTGTAGAGCACACAAACTGATTTTTCAGAGCATGGCCAACTGACACATAAGTGGATGGAGTCAATGTTTTTGTTGTTGTTGTTGTTATTGTTGTTTTCAGTTCTCAAAGCTAAATGGAGAATAAGCATGGGTTACTTGACTCCTTTATTAAGTGTTCCCAGTGCTTAGCAAAGCCCCATCTCTCCAAGGTCTATTTTGATGATGAAGACAGCAACAATAGCTGTAATACTGTGGAGAAACTGAAGGATCACGTGTGAAGCATGTGTCATAATAACAAAGCTGAAGATGGGAAATTCTAGTGTGGGTAGCAGCCCTTACCAGAAGGGATAATTACACAAGCATATCACCTTAATGGGTTTCCACACCGTTTGTCTTTTGACTCTATAGGGATAAAGATTTGATTACAGAATTCCTAGAATGAAAGATGATCAAAGGGCATCTCAGAATTTCCACAATTCTGAGAAAGGTGCCTTCAGTAGCTCACTGTGTTGGCAATATCAGGGAGAATTCTCTTTTAACCACATCCCAAGACCCAGTAATATAGAGACTAAAAACACCCAGGTTGACTAATACATCCCTTGTACCACATCACACTTTTAAATGGTGGCTTTGGAAATTTTCAGAATGAAAGTCTGCCTTATGAATCAGCTAGAAATTGCATATTTGTTGACAGCCTATTTTGTTTCATTAAAGTCCTCTTGCCCCCAAGGAATAGAAAGAGTTGTTTTTTCTTTTTCTAAACTTTTTAAAATTCAAGATTTATTTATTTTTATATGTTTAGGTGTTTGGCCTATGTATATGCCTGTGCACCATGTGTACACAGTGCCTGTGGAGGCCAAAAGAGGGTGTCAGATTCCCTGGAACTGGGAGTTACAGATGGCTGTAGCCACCGCGTGGGGTCCTGGGTCCACTGTAAGAGTAATGAGTGCTCTAAACCAAGGAGCCATCTCTCCAACCCCGCTAACTGTTTAAACTGGATTCTTCCTGGAGGAAAAAGAAATCTTAAATGAGTATCTCTTGCGCCTTGGTAGTGTCTGAGCCACTTTCTGACCTCGACATTCCTATCCATTTCTTGATCTTTCTCCTGGAAATCAATTTGCCTCTTGACATACCTCCTTGTACCTGCTCTCCTTGTTCTCTCAGCCAGGGTCACTCTGGTCTTGTTTTCAACAGAAAGAACAAGCTGGGTTTGAGCCTTGCAACCATGATAATCTGAGTTTGAGGTTATTTTGTGGATTCATGATACTCACACTGCAAAGTGGTTCCAAATTGTAATAAAATTTATACAACTGTACATCAAATTGTACTCTATAAATGGCATCCCCTAACATTTTCAAGTAGTTTTTCATTGCCTCCCAAATGCTACTAACACATTTTGAACTCTGGACTAGGAATGCAGCTCAGTAGTAGAGTACTTGTCCAGCATGTTCAAGGCCTTGGATCTCTATCCCCAACAATACAGGAAAAGAAAAAGTTTGAACTTTGTGTCCAGGGCTTTAATTCTTTTGGCCTAAGCCCTATCTTTCTGTTATTTACCCAATATCCCCATATTCCTACCCAGGATAGAGAATTCATGGCACTGCTTACTGATTCTCCTTGCACCTCTATGTCTTCTCATCCTAAATCTTCCCTTATGGAAATTTGCCAGTCCCCAGAGCTCAGCAGACATGCCAACATGCCACTATCATGAAGGCTTCTATGACAACCCCACACTTCTGTAGCTTTAAATACTTTTTAGCCTGTATTACTGTCATCTCTCTCTCTCTCTCTCTCTCTCTCTCTCTCCATATATATATATATATATATGGGCAGATATTTTGTAAAACCAAGTAAATTAAGGGCTCTGAATGGCAATCCACAACTGCGACTCATAACATCACAAGTCTGCTTGAAATGCTTTCCTCGGAGACATCGAGACATCATATGTTTGATTGGAAAGACTTGGTTGTTCTGACTTGGACTAACCTGGCAAGTATGCTGTTGAGGAAAAGATGCTGTTGAGGGAGAAATTGAATTGATCTTCCTAAAATCTTGACAATCTTAACTCCAAAGTCACAATGTTTCTACACCTGGTCACCATATGGCCCAACACTATGTAGTCACTTGCCCCAAAATCACCAACCAAGCTCCACGTATATGTTGTAATTTTTCTCTTCTCAATGCATTTTTCTGGAGTCATTTAAGAATAAATTTCTAGAAATTAAGAATATGAAATAATAGGCTTTCAAAAATATGTATTTTCAGCTGGTGAGTTGGTATTCACAGAAGCAGGTAGATCTTTATGAATGTGAGGCCAATGTAGTCTACATGGCAAGTTCCAGGCAATCCAAGAGTACATAATGAACATTCTCCCAAACTTTATTTCTCTTTCTGGGTTAGCAAGAAAAACAGCATTAGAAAATTCACCCTCAAATAAGAAGAGTTATTTGATACATGAGAATCTGTCTCAAAAAAAACCCCAAAAGTAAATAGGACTATGAGTAATAAAATCCTTCATGCCCTTCTAAGGAAAGTTTCTAGATTAGGGGTTACTGAGGCACAAAATAAGGTCCTGGTGGACCATGAACAACAAGGTTCAACCCCCTTCTCATAGTTTCCTACCTGGTTCTGTAGCTGAGAAATGGTAGGCTTCCCAAGATTCCCAGGGCAGCTTCTTGCCTCTTACCTGTTAGAGAACTGGGTATCATGATGAATGAGAGCAATCCCAGTATCACCAAGTGTGTCTCCATCTTCCTGGCCCGTGGAATCAGGATGGAGCAGGGAACTGGATGAAATTCTGTGCAGTATGTTGGGTTAGCCTCTTTCCGGCATCCTACTGGGAGGATGCCAGAGCAAGGGCTTAGTCCTCTCAGGCTGTCATCTTGGCTTTTTATATAATGTCAATGACAGTCAGGAGTTGTTCTATTTAAGCATTAGGCTGATCTGCTCAGCAGGAAGTTGTGCCTACTCTGTTCTGTGATCTCAGATAGGAAGTGTTTTTTGATGACAATATAGTTTGCGGTAATTTCTCAAACCAGTTTTTTTTCTTGTCAAGTTCAATTACTGGGAGGTGTGGGCTGTGTTTGGTGAGAAGGATTGGGCTCCACTTATGAATCCTTTCTTGTGCTTCACCCATAAAAGGAAAGGGAGATTCCCCTGCCGTTGCCGGAGGGGTGAGCAAGCACTTCTTGGCAGTGGTCTCATTTAGGGTTTTGTAAACTGAGTCTTCTTGGGGGAGTCCCCACCAGAGGACTCAACAGAGGTTGTGGAGGATAGAGAATCAAGGTCATGGAAGGACATGGAAGGGCAGCTTTGGCCAAACATGGACATTTCATCTAAACTGGCATGACCCTGGAGCCCTCTTAGACATTTAACTGGGTTCCAGGCTGTGCTATGTGCTTAGAGGATGATGACAAACAAACGTGTGCAGTCCACACATGAGGTTTTTTAAATAATTCTGACACATAGTTCATTGTGCCATGGATGTGGGATACACAAATACAGAAGACAGACTGGTGCCTAGATGAGTTTGCAGTTGCAATGGAAGACTTGAGTATGACTTCTCCCAGGCCTTTCAGAACCCTTTGTATTCCCCCATAGCATCACCATGCTGTCTTGTCATCCGCTGTTTATACGCCTTTTAACCTCTAGCTTAGTTGCTGTTCATCTTGTTTTGTGCATAAGATCTGATGAAATCTTGGTTTCCTCCCTTGAGGGAAAAATGCACACAGACCTATCATCAGGAAATCTATAGACCATTTATAGGAGTGTCACAGGCACTTTGAAGTCTAAGAGTCTGGGGATCTTAGGTTAAAGGTATCACACTGAGGGCTTCTGGAGACAGGTTATATCCAATGTATTTTTGATATCACCATCGAATAGTACATAACACATATGGATGTTCAACCATGATTCATTAAGACACACATGATCATGAATATATAACAAGCATACATTTCAGACATAACGTGTCATAGTTATTTTTCCAAACCTGCTGGAAATAGCAGTTTCCACTAAGTCCATTTCAAATATTCCTTCCCTGGTAGAGACTTTCAAGGAAGAAAAGGTAGTCTAGATGACCCCAATAGATTAATTTAAGCAACGTTTGGCTAAAGGTCACTATGTTCCTTTAGGACAGGTGGTTGGTCAACTGTATAAAGCTGAGTAGCAGTATATCAGGAAGTCGCTCAACTCTATTATCAGAAACGTTTGGTATTTCTCAGAAGAAACTGCTCATCATACGAGCAACCAAATATCTGACCCAGATTGCCTCATCTTAAGAGGTGAGGCTTTGCTCTTCCTAACAGTAAAGGTGGCGGTTCTGCTCATGATGCAGAAGAGCAGGAGGGACTTAGCAAGGGAAAAGTAACGGGTGGATATGTTCAGGAAAGACATAAGGGTTGTCCCTGAGAGGTGAATGTAGTCTTCGTGTGTGGATCCTGCAGGCACAAGCCATGGTCAATAGTTAACCAGAAGTACAGTTGAGCTGGTGGCTAGAAGGTGAGGGTAGAAACGTCAGTTGGCTAGATTAACCCTGAAGAGGATTTTGAAAGGCAGAATAAAATGATTGGATCTGAGCCAATGGACATGTCCAAACAGGGTGGAGCATGATTCCAGTGTCCTAGCTAGTTTTATGTCAATGTCACATCAGATATTTGAAAAGGAGGAACCTCAGTTGAGACAATGTTTCCATAAAGATGTGGCTGTAGGGCATTTTTTTTAGTTAATTATTGATGGGGAAGGGCCCAGCCTATTATGGGTGGTGTCATCCTTGGACTTGATGGGCCTGTGTGCTAGAAAATGCAGACTGAAGCCGGGCGGTGGTGGCACACGCCTTTAATCCCAGCACTCGGGAGGCAGAGGCAGGTGGATCTCTGTGAGTTTGAGGTCTCCAGGACAGCCTCCAGAACAATACAGAGAAGCCCTGTCTCGGAAAAAACAAAAAAACAACAAAAAACAAAACACAACAAAAACATATGGAAGGGGTAGACTCTAGCACCTAGCACCCTTTAAAGCATTTTGTTGAATACATCTCTGAATTATACATTGTTAGCAGAGCAATGGATCCGTGTAAGGACAGGTTTCTCAGGTGGATCCCTGCTATTAGGGTACACGACTCTAGTTACAGAGAATCTCAAAGCACCTTGTAAATACCTTTTCTTTGAGACTTAGCTTCTGACTCTCATGTTAATAGTGAAAGAATATGAAAACATACTGAGACTGATTGTTTACATATATTCCACAGCACAGAGGTGTCATACTTAGGAGAAGAAATATGACCTCCACCAGTACCCCAGCTTACTACCTGGCCAGATATAAAAGAAAGCGATAGCCCCTCCCCCATCCCAAAGCCCTACCAGGCTGTGGTTGGGATGTATGATCAGCAGCCAGAGAGGAATGGATCTGTTAGATGAGAATTAAGAATTCTCCAGGGAGGCACTGCCTCTGCGCTTGCCTGTGTGCTACTCTGCCCAGCAATATTCAGAGACTGTGATCCCTAAGCTAGGATAAGAGGCAACATTACTCAAAGAGATACACATCTAGAACTCAAACACAAGTGCAAAATCAGGCACAGCTTTCTCTGTCAGCAGGCCTACGAGTCTCATGACTCCTCTCTCCTGTCTTTCCCATTACTCCTGTCCTTTACACCTACAGAGCAAGGCCATGGAGAGGAAAAGCTGAAACTCAGATCAAAGCACTTCATTTCTGTCAAGCAGTCCATGAACACATGTTGGCTGCATACCTGCATTGAAACAACCTGTTACACTGGGCTCTGAAGTCAAGAAGTTAAGATGTCATCACTGCCCAGAGTCTACTCAGGCAGAAAAAGAAACCAGCCCTTGAAAAGGGAAGCAATTGCTCACTGATCCTTGACACTGCCAGACTTGTCTGTTCTACGCTAGTGACACCACATGAAAACACCCTCACTCTGTCATTCCACACCCCTCTCCCAAGAGCCATGTGCTCATTTGTGGTCTCAGAATTAGAGAGGGAGAGGGGAGAGGAGGGAAGGGGGGTGGTGTGGAGGGGGGAGAAAAGGGGGAGGAGAGGAGCGGGAATGGGAAAGGGAAGGGAGGAGAGGACAGCAGAGGAGAGGGAAAAGAAGAGGAGGGAAGGGGAGTAGGAGAGGAGGGGAGAAGACAGGAGAGGAGAGAGAAGGGAGGGAAGAAAGAGAGGGGGTGGGGTAGGAGAGAGGATGGGAAATGGGGGTACAAAGAGAGGAGAAGAAAATGGAGGAGAGAGGAAAGTCGAGAGGAAGGAAACGGGAATATGTGGGAGTAAAGGACCCTTCATTTTCTTGGAGGATGGCTTGGAGCAGCTCAGGGAACTCACCATTTATGTATTTGTTGTATGTTTTAGGTGGTTTTCAGTCTATGAGGCATCAAGCCTTTATTTCTTAGACCACGGCTTGGATGTCCACCTAAGGAAAAGATTTTACTTTTACACAGTTCACGTGCTCATGGGTGCATCATTTTGTAGTATTCAAATCAATAAATATTAGTTAAGGATCTAGGAAGTGTAATCAAACATGAATTGAAAGGGATTTCTGCTCTCAAAGAGCTGGTTATCTAACCATGGAGATGGGAGGGAAGGGTCAGATAAGCCCCTATTAATAGTAAAGCATTCCAAATGGATCACCCCCACAGATGCCAAAAGGAGGGAGCATGGTAGGGAAGGGAGGCAAGCAGGTCTCAGTCCTTGTCAGATAGCTGGTGGAAAGACAGAGTCACTGTGGTCGACAACTTCCATCGCTGGCAGATATATGGGAACACTTCAGATTCTGCCCGATTTGGCAGCAGACAAACAGGCTTCTTTCTCTCAAACTGGTGTTAACAGAAGACGTCGGCTAATTCTGTGAAATCTACAGGTGCATCCTGTTATTGTGGCACGGGGCTGAATTTCTCAGCTCGTAATTTCCACTAGGTTTTTTAGACAGGGTCCTGTGGAAAACAGAATCCACTATGCACCAAGGAACCATCCTCTGTGCAAATGCTGGGTCCCCTAGGAGCTCCCTGACTTCTGAATTACTCCTCTAATAAATCACTGGGAGACTGCTGGCTTGTCAGACTCACACATCCAGTCCCTACGTTGAAAATTGAACATCAACTTAGCTATCATCTGCAGGTTATGCTAACCAGTCAGATTCCCATTTCCCTCCCTCCCTCCCCTCCCTCCTCTCGTGTGTGTGTGTGTGTGTGTGTGTGTGTGTGTGTGTGCATGCATGAGTGCAGGGGTACATGCAGGTGTTTGCATGTGTAGTGTGTGTGTGTGTGTGTGTGTGTGTGTGTGTGTGTGTGTGTGTGTAAGCCTTCGTGTGTGCAGGTGTTTGCCATGTGTAGGACCAGAGGAGGTTGACGTTGAGTGCCTTCAGTAATCACTCTTCATTATAGTTGGAGACAGGATCTCTTACTGAACCTGCAACTGGCTAAATTTTCCTCAACTGGCTGGTTATCAAGTCCTGTCTCTGTTTTCTTGTACTAGGATTCCAGGGCACCACTGATGGTGGGATTGAGCAGCAAACCTCGGTCTTCATGCTTATGTGGCCAGTAACTTCATTGACTGCCCCACCCTCCCAGCCCACGATCCCCCTTTCTATTGAGTGCTTGCCACATGGGCATCAGGAAAGTCCCCTTATCCTTCTGCCCTTGTTCTAGCTCCAGGGTGGACAATAGAGTGATTTAGTATCTCAAGCCAGTGATGAACTCCAGTGGCTTCTGGAGGCAAAGATTGTGAGGTTCTGTATCACTGGGCTGTGGGTTTTTGGAGGAAGATAAAGTCATGTCTGTCTCACTTTTTGTCTAGACGTCTATGTAAACTTTAGCTTTCCAACTGACTTCATTGACTCAAAGATTCTGCCCTCTTCTGTGTTGTTTTTTTTTTTCCAGGGCTGGTGATCTAACGCAGGGCCTGGCCCAGGCTAAGCAAGTGCCTCACCACCCAGCTATAGCCCCAGTACTTCCTTTAGTCTCACCTTCCTGAAGAACACATTTCTCCCTCCTTTCTTCAAGTTAGACTTAGAAATGACCAAAATACCATTGAAATTAATCCCGAATTCTTTAGCCTGATATTTACAAGTTTTCCTATTCAGCCGCAGCCTACCTCTTCAATATGAATTCTCCACCTTTTCGTCACATGTTCTGTTCTTTCACTATCCCCCCAATGGCCTCCTCTTTGCTAGTTGTCTTTGAAGAATCTGTAATTCCAAATTTTGCCCACTCCTTTTTAAAAAGTTAGGGTATAGTAATTATACAAAGCAATATGTTTCATTAAGATATTTTCCAGACATACAATAATACACTTGACTATATCTATTCCTCAATTACTTTAATTTTTTCCCTTTTTTGAAAATAGATATTTTCCCTCATGTAATATATCCTGATTACAGTTTCCCATCCCTCTACTCATTCCAGTTCCTCCCTACCTCCCTGCTCATTCAAATCCACTCCTTTTCTGTCTTTCATTAGAAAAAAAATAAGCTTCTGAGGGATAATAACAAAATATAAAAATAAAACAAACACTAACACATTGAATTTGAACAAAACAAACAGAAGGGAAAGAGCCCAAGAGAAGGCACAAGAATCAGAGACCCAGTCATTCACATGCTCGGTAATCCTATAAAAACACTCCACTGGAAGCCATACTATATACGCAAAGGACCTGGGGCAGACTTATGCAGGCTCTGTACATGCTGCAGAATTCTGTATCTGCGAGTTCCTATGTGCTTCGATCGTGTTGATTTAGAGGGCCTTCTTTTCTTGGTGTCATCCATCCCCTCTGGCTCTTATACTCTTTCCATCTCCTTTTCCACATGGTTCCCTGAGTCCTGAAGGAAAGGATTTGATGGAGATAACCCATTTAGGGCTTAGTGTTACAAGGTGTCACATGCTCTACATGTCTGGCTGTGAGTCTCTGTGTTTGTTCTCATCTGCTGAAGGAAGAAGCTTCTCTGAGGATGGCTGAACAAGGTACTGATTTATGAGTGTATCAAGTGTCATTAGGGGTCATTTATTGCTACATTTTTATTGTTGTTTTGTTTTAGAACAGTAATATTTGGTTTTGCCCTAGGTCCCTGGGGTATCTAGTCTTAGATTCTTGGTCATTCAAGCAGTGTCGTATATGGGTTCTGTCTTGTGGAGTGGGCCTCAAGTCAAATCAGACGTTGATTGATTACCTCCACAAGCTTTGTGCCAATATTGCCCTAGCATATCTTACAGGCAGGATAGCATTGTCTATCCAACGGTTTGTGGCTGAGTTGGTGTTTACCTTTTGGTATGTGCAGAGTATCTTCCTATACCAAAGATTCCAGAACATACAGGTAAAGGCTCTATGCAGGCACCAGCTTTACTTCTCCATGTTCAATGAGATGTGTAGGTGTTGTCTTCAGCAATGGGGCCTTGCTGTCAATTTGTGGAAAACAACCTATTGTCTTGGCAACAGCCTGGGTTGTTTGGAGATTCCCATTGGACTCCTTTGGCCAAAAATTCAATTAAATGTAACACAGTTCTGGTACTGGAAGCTTCATTTAGTGACAAGAGATAGCTAGTTGGGGTTCTATCACCCCAATTATTTGGTGATTTCCACTAGATTGCCTTCACATACGTATGTATGTAAGGAACCTGCTACTGCATTAAGTGTCTATACTACACCTCAAATGACCCTTACTTTTAAATACCTTTCTCTATATTCTCGACCCTTGTCCCTCTCTCCCCTTCACTTCTCCACTTGATTCTCCTGTTCTAGCCCCCACCCAAGCCTATCTATTGTATTCCCTTTCCTAATGAGATCTCTCTGTATTCCCTAGTTCCTTGCTCTACACCTAACTTCTGTGGTTCTACGGATTGTAGCTTGGTTGTCATTGACTTAACAGCTAATATATAAACAAATGCATATCATATTTGTCTTTTTGGATCTGGGATAACTAAATCAGGATGATGTTTTTTTAGTTCCATCTGTTTACCTCTGAATTTCTTGACCTCTTCCTCTTCCTCTTCTTCTTCTTCTCCTCCTTCTTCTTCTTCCCTGCCAAGTAGTACTCTATTGTATAAATGTACATTTTCTTTATCCGTTCTTCTGTTGAAGGACGTGTAGGTTGCTTCCAGTGTCTGGCTATTATGAACAGAGAAGCAATGAACATGGTTGAGAAAGTGTCCTTGTGGTAGGATGAAGCATATATGCCTAAGCATGGAATATTTGGGTGACTCCCGTCTTCATGAGGAACTACCACACTGAGTTCTATAGTGGCAATATAAGTTTTCACTCCCACCAGCAGGGGAAGTGTGGTCCTCATGCTCCGTATCCTCGCCAGTATCCGATGTCACTTGTGTTATTACTCTTAGCCATTCTGATAGGCGTAAGATGGAATCTCACTAGTTAGAATTTCAAGTTCTTTTTTTATATTTTTTCTTCATTTTAAATACCAACCACAGTTCCCCCTCTCCTCCTCCCCTCCTCTCACTTCTCCCCAACCTACCCCCAAATACACATCAGAAAGGGTAAGGTCTCCCATGGGGAGTCAACAAAGCCTGGCACATTCAGTTCAGGCAGGACCAAGCCACCCTACCCCCACCCTGCATCAAGGCTAAGCAAGGCATCCCACTATAGGAAATGGGCTTCAAAAAGCCAGTTCATGCACTAAGAATAGATCCTAGTCTCATTTCCAGGGGTCCTACAAACAGACCAGGTTACAAAGCTGTTGTCCACATGCAGAGGGCCTAGTTCAGTCCCAAGTAGGCTCCCCAGCTGTTGGTGGAGAGTCAGTGAACTTCCGAAAGTCAGGGTCAACTGTCTCTGTGGGTTTCCCTGTCATAATCTTGATACCACCACCACCTATATGATCTCTCCTCCCTCTCTTCGACTGAATTCTTGGAGCTCAGTCCAGTGCTTGGCTGTGAATCTCTGCATCTGCTTCCATCAGTTACTGGATGAAGGTTCTATGATGACAGTTAGGGTAGTCACCAATCTGATTACAGAGGAAGGCCAGTTCAGGAACCCTCTCCACTATTGCTAGGGGTCTTAGGTAGAGTTATTCTTGTAGATTCCTGGGAATTTCCCTAGCATCACATTTCTCCCTAGCCCAGTAATTGCTCCCTCTATTGAGATATCTCTTTCCTTGTTTTCCCACCCCAATCCTCCCCAGTCGTCTCCCAACTCAACCTTCCCATTCCCTCATGTTCTTATCCCCCATCCCCTCCCCTTTACTGACCCTGTCCCCAGTTTACCCAGGAGATCTCATTTATTTCCCCTTCCCAGGGCAATCCACATGTCCCTCTTAGGGTCTTCCTTGTTACCTAGCTTCTCTGGAGCTGTGGATTGTGGTCTAGTTATCCATTTATGAGTGAGTACATACTGTGTTTGTCTTTCTGGGTCTGGGTTACCTCACTCAGGATGATTTTTTTGAGTAGGTATATAAAGGTGGACAATGTTACTTTGTTTCTGATTTTGGGAAGTGCTTTGAGTTTCTCTCTGTTTAAGTTGATGCTGGCTATGAAATTGCTGTAAACTGCCTTTATTGTTGAGGCTTGTCCCTTGTATCCTTAATCTCTCCAGGATTTTTATTATGAAGCAGTGTTGGATTTTGTTGAAAGCTTTTTCTGTATCTAATGAGATGATCATGTGTGTGTGTGTGTGTGTGTTTATATGGTGAATTATACTTATCAGTTTATATATATATTTAACAATTTCTGCATCTCTGTGATAAAGTCTACTTTATCATGGTGGATGATATTTTTAATGTGTTCTTGGATTTGGTTTTCAAGTATACTACTGAGAATTTTTACTATTATTTCATGAGGGAATTGACCTGTAATTCTCTTTATGTGGTTTGAGTACCAACTCCCCCACTGCTCTTTAAGGTCAAATACACATACTACTTTTAAAAAAATGTCTCATCAGATCTCCCCTTCTGGAAGTGTTCTTGTCTCTGAGATGTTACCTCTCCAGCACTGAAATAATCACTAACATTGAATAAATGGTTACTACATGGCAGGCTCTGTGCCAAGCATTTTGAATATCTTATCATACTTATCTTACATAGCAGCTGTGTATGACTGGTGCATTATCATGATTTCCATTTACTGATGAAGACATTGCATCAGTACGTTATGAAATGCCCACTCTCACACAACTTCTGAGGAGTGATGTCTACAAACTTAGCCCTCAAACATGCTACCACACCATCACTGTCGAGACATTTACCAGCATAAAACTGTGCTCTCACAACTGAATGCATGCCCAGGAATTCCAGTTGTACTCTGGGTGCCTTTAGACAAAGGATCTGTCTTCTGACATCACCTAGCACATGCTACATATGCACTATCTGTTGAATGAATCATTCTATGGAGAACCATTTAAACGGCTTCCTGGAAAGAGAGAGGACAGTGGTGTCAAGTCTTGTCCATCCCAGGTTCTGAGCAACTTTGTTCCTCTCCGCTGGGTCTCAGGTTTCCCCACATTTTTCCTACTTCTAGTGTCAAATCTTGAGAAAACAAACAAAGCCAAACCCAAAACAAAACATGGAATTTTTCTCAGCAATGATGCCAGCAGAGTACCTCCTAAGAGGAGAATGTTTTTCATAAAACACCCAGAAGATAAAAAGGGAAAGAGGAACCATCTCTCAGAAACTCTGCTGAACCCAGAAGAAGTGCAGCAAATGGTTCAATTCACAGAATCAAATATCTGTTTCATCAGTTACAGCAGGATGGCACATTAAGAATACCTTGAAATGATATTCATTTTTTTCTGAGAAGCTAGAAACTTTTTGTTCGATAACCTAACTTTCCCAACTCATTATGAAAGATTTTTTTTATCTGATATAGGAAAAGATTGAGCCTGGATGAATTCATCCATGGTAGAAAAAGGATTGATTTCCTTCATTCCTTCCTTCTTTCTCTTCACCCTTCCTTCCTTGCCTTCTTTTTCTTTTCTTTTCTTTTTTTTGTTCATGATAAGTTTTCATGTAACTAGGCTAGCCTTGTACTAGCTGCAAATAACCTTGAATTCTTTATGTTTGTTTGTTTTTGGTTTTGTTGTTTTGTTTTGTTTTTTGAGACAGGTTTTTGAGGCTGGCCTGGAACTCAGAGATCCACCTGCCTCTGCCTCCCACGCGCTGGAATTAAAGGCATGTGCCACCACCACCCAGTCCAGAAAGGACATGTTTCTAATTGTCTCACCTATTTGTCATTTGCCAAAAACAGTCTCTGTTTCCATGATCCACATTTCACCACATTGTTGACAGGCCTACCCATTTTATACAAGATACTTTCTGCTCAGTTTTGAACCCTGTGGTCCCCAACTATTTATGTAGTAGCTACTATGTGCTAGATGGCTGTTAAGCTTTAGGAAAACAAATACACATAAAATCCTCTGTATTGTCACTATGGCCCTTCAGTTGGGGTGATGCTGACAGGCAAGAAGCAATGAGACGAATGTGTAGCATAATGTTCCATGGTGATGTATATTATAAAGTAATGAAAGTCATGCAAGTCATGCCAGAGATAGGGTGGAGAGTGGGCCCTTGTAAGGAAAAGTCATTCAGAGAAGGTGCCATTTGTATAGAAATGAATGATGCTACCACTTGCTAAACTGGAGTGGAGGAGACTCTTGGTTTATGAGAAAGACATACAACCAAGAGTTCTGTTTTTGATGTCAACACAGGCAATTCTGGTTTAGGGATGTAACTCTGTGGACAGAGTGCTTATTTCATATGTATGAAGCCCCAGATTCTATCCCTAGTACTTCATAAAACTAGGCATGGTAGCACAGTCCCATAACTCCAGGGCTTTGAAGATAGAAGCAGGAGGGTCAGAAACTCCTTCTAGGAAAGAGTTGAGTAAAAGCCAGCCTACGTCTAGGGTTATGAAGGCAATGTAATGCCAGGCATCCTCCTCTGCGTGATGAGTTCAAGCACAGCCTGGGATACATTAGACACCATTTAAAAACAAAATGGGGATACTATATGCATGTTGGATAAACACCTCATTGGAGAAGTTGTTCTCTGACACGAAACAAAGCAAACCTCTTGGAGGGAAGAACTCCTCTAAGCCAAGGACAATAAACAGGCTAGTGGGGGAGAGAAGTCTAGCACACATGGATCAGTGCAGGTGGGGAATTTGTGCAGGGTTGGATTATTTAACAGTTTGTGGGCAGGTCAGGAGTCTGGGATTTTATTCTTGTTAGGAAGCTACAGATGGATGAAAGCTGAGGGAAAAGGCACTTGGACTACTGCAGTTGCTCAACTCAGGGGTAACCAGCAAGGGCTGTGGGTGTAGCTCGGTGTTAAAGTGCTTTCGTAACATCCACAAGGTGCAAGTTCTAAACCCAGCAACACACATGGACACACACACACACACACACACACACACAGAGACACACACAGACACAGACACACAATCCTGTAGTATGTGCCTCATTGATCAAATGAGATGTGTGTGTAAGGAAAATACAAAAAGCAATTCTGACTCAAATATTTGGCTTGACTACCCAATGAAAGATGTTGCTGCTGGAGAGATGGCTCAAGTGGTTAAGAGGGCTTTCTGCTCTTCCAGAGGACCCCAGTTCGGTTCCCAGCACTCATGTAGGGCAACTAATAGCTGCCTGTAACTCTGGGCTCTACGGGGATCTGACACCCTGGTCTCAATGGACACTGATACTTAGGTGCACACTCCACATGCATACACACTTGTATACATAATAAAATACTTTTTAAATATTTCATGTGTATGGATGTTTTTCCTGCATGCATGTCTATATACCATGTGCCTTCAGAAGCCAGAAGAAGGTGTTGGATCCCCTGGAACTAGAGTTACAGGTTGTTGGGAGTTGCCCAGTGGGTGCTGGGAATTGAACCCGTGTCCTCTGGAAGAGCAGCTAGTGCTCTTAATGTCTGTCATTTCCCCAGCCTGGGATGAACATTTTTAAGATGCTGCTGCTTCCTGGCATGAGCTGAGTAGAAGCTGGTGTGTGGTTATAAGGGAGATGCAGAACTGGGACTTCTGTTTGGGGCCACAGCAACTGGCACCTAAACTGAGATGCTGTGTGGACTGAATAACCACCTCAGTGGAGGCATTCTGCTCTAAAGCAGAGCGGAGAATATACAAACAGGAAGTGGAAGGAGTTGAGGGACTAGCCAGGGTTTGAAAACTAGAGTATAGAGCTGTACAGTGTTGATGATAGAGCTGTACAGTGTTGATGCACGTTTTTAATCTCAGCACTTGGAAGGCAGAGGCAGGTGAATCTCTGAGTTTGAGGCCAGGCTAAGTTCCAGAATATCCAGGGCTACACAGAGAAGCCCTATCTCAAAAAATCTAAAATAAAATTTAAAAAAGAATGAAGTCTTAAAAAAAAACAATGTGGATGACACATTCTGGAAAATCACACACACAGAAACACACACAGACACACACATCAGAATGTGAGAGTAGCAGGGATATATGGTTTGATTTTTGGAATAACAAGTTGGGGCTACTAGTTAAACCTCAAAGACAGGGTATTTTAAATCATGTAGTTCTATGTTACACAAATCCACTTAAATGAGGAGGGAATTTGTAGGATAGAGGGGCTTCTCCCGAGACCCAAGGATATCTTGGGCTAAGGTGTCTTGGAGAAGATGAAGGAAAAGAAGTAGAGACTTCTAATGAATAAACATTCAGTGGCTCTGCCCATGACACCCAGTCTTGTTCATTCACATTCTCAATGAACATGCGATTGGCCATAGACAACCAATGAATCTGAATTTCCCCAAGCCAGGCCCCATTTCTGATGCTTTTGAGCAGTCAAAACTACCGGCATGCCATCCTGAATGTGCTGTCTCATGTACTGCAGTCGGCAGGACCAAGGGTCTTGTCACACAGACTAATTATGGTTAAGGGGAAAGTGTGCCTGTGCGCATACGTGCTTGTGTGCATACAAGTGTAGCGATAGGTGATTCTTTTTTCTTTATTGATTCATATCTTTTTATTTAACTTTTTACACATGTCACTCTCAGTGATTCTTAAGGACAGTGATTCTAGGCTGAGTAAGTACACAATGGAAAATAAGGGTAACTAAAAAATATGAAGTTAGGAACTGGAAAAGTGGTTCTCAACTTTTCTAATGCTGTGGCACTTTAAGATAGTTGCTCATGTTGTGGTGACCCCAACCATAAAATTATTTTTTGTTGCTACTTCATCACTGTAATGTTGTTACTGTCAAGAATTATAAATATCTGTGTTTTCTGATGGTCTTAGGTAACCCCTGTGAAAGGCTTATTGGACTCCAAAGAGGTTGTGACTCACAAGTTGAGAACTGCTGGGCTAGAGAATTGGCTCAGTGGTTAAGAGCACTGACCTCTCTTCCAAA